TGACTTGCCATCTAATTATGAGGAAACTTTCAATATATCTCTATTATCTTTATATAAAACCAACATCCTTAGAATGGCCTACTGCAGTCTTGCATAAATTGTCCCTAATACATATGCATAGAACAAACTATTATTACTATCAACTATTAACAAAAAATAACTATTATCCTCAATAAGCTTACAGGAAAAGGAGAGATATCACTCAAATAATTCTACAAGCAGATGTAAAATGCAGCTGTGACTAGATAAAAAGTCTGTAGAGCTTTGTGAGCCTACAGTAAGGAGGCTTGATACAAGCATATAGGTGAAGGAAGGTTTGATTGTGTCTGAAAAATCTGAGCAGAAATCTAAAGATAACTTAGCAGTTAATTAGGTCAAAGAAAAAGACTGCACCATTGGCATATATCACATTCAATGCACATAGGAGGTTATTTAGATCCTTTACAAACAAAAAGACTATATATTCATATTATACTATTCATTCATAATTGTTCAGGCTCATTTTACGACCCATAATATGGACTTGACTGTTCGGTGTACAATGGGAAAGCTTGAATATTCTGCTTTTAGGTTCAGTGTTCTATACATTACTTTAAGTGGCTTACTGAAATCTCAACAATGACTATGGATTTATCTATTTCCCCTTGCAGTTCAGTCAGTTTTTGATTCATATATTTTGATGGTTTCATAATTAGGTGTTTAAAAACATTTATGATTAGGTTCACATGATTAATTGACCCTTTATCATTATATCACTTTCTTATTTCTGGTGATAGCCTTTGCCTAACATATGTGTGTGTATATATATATATGCCCTAGAATAGCCACTCCAGCATTCGTCTAATTAATATTACCGTGGTATACTTTTTCCATCCTTTTACTTTATCTTTTTATTTCCTTATATTTCATGTACTTCTTAACATAATTGTTTCGCTGTTGCATACAATCCAATAATCTCTGCCTTTTAATGGTATATTTAAGGAATTGACATTTAATGTTGATAATGCATATGCTTAGGCTTACACTTACCATTTTGCTATTTGTTTTCTATTCTCCTCATTGTTTTTCTTTGTTCCTCTTCACTTTTTCTGCCTTCTTTTGGATTAGCTGATTGTTTATATTCTATTTTATTTTCTTTATTGATTTGTTAGCTACAACTATTTTATAAGTTTATAATAGTTTTCTATTTCTGTGTAACAAATTATCACAATTTAGAATCTTAAAAACACATTTATTATCTCACAGTTTTTCTACAAGTTAAGATTTTAAGGCAGTTTGACTGGGTCAAGGTTTTGCATTCTGCACAAGGTCTCATAGTTTTCAATCAAAATGTTAACTGGGTAGTATTATTTTTGATTTGTTTGTAGAAACTTAATCCACTCAGGGCTGCTTGATTGAGCGCCCCCACCTACTCACTGGCTATTAGCTAAGGTCTATTTACAGGTCCTAAAAGCCACTCACAGTTTCTTGCCATGCGGTACTTACCACAAGCAATTTGCAACATCGTTGTATGCTTCTTCCAGGCCAGAGGGAGAATCCCACTTTTTTGTGTGTGTGCAGTCGGCAAAGCTTCTGCTATATATGGAAATGGAGGTATGTGAGTAGCATGCTATCCCCCTCTGCCTAATAAGCAACCTAATCAATAGAATGACATCCCCATCACCTTTATTGTATTCTATTGGTCACAATTTCTCGGTAATAGAAAGAAAAAACATTACACAAGGAAATGACTCATTGGTAGCCATTCTAAGATGTATTGGCACCATTGCTTCAGAATCCAGTACACAGTTTTAACTCATCAGTTCACCTTCAAATGATACACAACTTCAGAGAAACTACACAAGCACATAATTTACTTTCATTTCTTCTCTCCCACACTTTGTTCTACATTTTACGTTTATGTATGCTATAAATCCCACATCGCAAATTTTTTTTCTTTAAAGATAGGGTCTCACTCTATGACCCAGGCTGAAGTACAGTGATATGATCAACTCATCACAGCCTTGAACTGGGCTCAAGTGATCTTCCCACCTCAGCTTTCTAAGTAGACAGGACCACATTTCACTCCTCTGTATACATTCATATTTGAAGCTAATGTCATTTTTTTCTGCCTGAAAAACTTCTTTCATGTTTCTTGTAGTGTGGATCTCATGCTGAAAATTTCCTTTCACTTTTCTGTGTTTAAGAATACTTTTAGTTAGCCTTCATTTTCAAAAGGTGTTTGCTGGAAACAGAAATCAAGGCTAACTTTTTTTTATTCTTAAGTACTTGAAAGATGTTACTCTACTGTCTTGCTAGTATTGTTCCAGCAAGAAGTTTCCCATATTCCTTACCTTGTTTCTCTGCATGTAACATGTGCCCTAATACTCGTAATTACTTTTATAATTTTTTCCTTATCAATGTTTTTGACTTATGCAATTATGGTATAACTTGGTGTCATTTTCTTAATATTTCTTGTGTTTGGGATTCGTGAAGCTTCTTGAATATATGAATTCATATTTTTCATCACATTTCAAATTTTTTGGTGTTTATTACTTATGTTTTCTTGTCCTATTTCTTTGCCTCTTTCTCAGACTCCACTTTCAACTATATTATTAGGCTGTTAGAAGTCTTAGAGCTCACCATTGATTTGCTCATGTAACTTTATTTTCATCTTTTAATATTCTGTGATTCATTTTGCGTAGTTTCTCTAGAGCTATGCTTCACTTTCATTCTGCAATGTTTAATATAATATTAATACTATCTAATTCCATCTATCACATTGTAGTTTTCATCTTTACCAGTCTGATTTAGGTCTTTATTACAAGCTTCATGTCTCTAATTAACTTTTTTTGACAGTTTTTATGACAGCAGTTTCAAGTGTACATTTAGTGGTTTTCTGTATAGAATTGTGCAAACTTCATCATGGCCTAATAGTAGAACATTTTATTTACCCCTTTAAAAGAAACACTATATCCATTTGCCATCCCTCCCAATACTCTCTCAAGCTCTTATCCCCACCAATCCCCAACCCTGCACAAGCACTATAGAAATTTATTTTGTTTCTATAGATTTGTCAAATCTAGACATTTCACATAAATAATATATTATGTGGTTTTTTGTAACTAGCTTCTTTCACTGTTTTCAAGGTTCATTCATATCTTAGCAGGTACTAACCATTATTTAGTATGTAGTAACCATTATTTAGCATGTAATAAAGTTCTCTTTATTACTGATTAATACTTCATTGAATGAAAATATGCGTTTTCACTCACCAGCTAATGGGCTTTTGGGCTGCTTCTTTCAGGTTTTGTGAATAATGCTGCTGTGAAGTTTGTGTAATTTTGTGTGCCCATGTTTTTTGTCTTGGATATATAAGTAGGCACGAAATTGTGACTCATATGGTAACCCTATGTTCAAAGCATAGGCACCATTTTACATTCTCACCATCAACATGAGAATTCCACTTTCTTCACATCCTTATCACCACTTATCTTTTTCATTATAGTTCTGATTATCTTTCTGAAGATAAGGGATATAGTTACAATAAGTTGTTTTAATGCCCTTGTCTGTTGATTCTAATATTACTTCAATTCTGATCAGCAATTTGTTTTTCTGCTTGTTATGTGTTTACTTTTTTTTTCTTTTTGCAAACTTGGTAATTTTTAATTGCATGCCATATGTAAATTGTGCCTTACTGGTTGGTGAACATTTTTCTACTTCTGTAAATACTACTGAAGTTTGGTCTTGTCATCTGTCATGATTTGTTAAGTTTGATCCATTTGGGTCTTACTTTTAAGAGTTAGATGGCACTAGAGCACTGATCATCTAGGACTAATTACTGCCTACTAAATGATTACTAAATAACTACTAAATCAAAACTTTTTTTGAGGGTACTCTGTCCAATGTCCTATGGATTATAAAGTTTTCCAGCCTGGTTAGTGGAAATAATGACTATTTCTGACCCTCTATGATGTCTATATATATATAGATAGATAGATAGATAGATAGATAGATAGATAGATATAGATATGACAGAGTCTCGCACTGTCGCCCTGACTGGAGTGCAGTGATGGAATCTCTGCTCACTGCAACCTCCGCCTCCCGGGTTCAAGCTATTCTCCTGCCTCAGCTTCCCGAATAGCTGGGATTACAGGCGCCCGCCGGGACGCCCAGCTGATTTTTTGTATTTTTGGTAGAGACGGGGTTTCACCATGTTGACCAGGCTGGTCTTGAACTCCTGACCTCGTGATTCACTCGCCGCGGCCTCCCAAAGTGCTGGGCTTACAGGCCTGAGCCACCGCGCCCGGCCATTTCCAGATACTTTTAAAAATCTTTTGGCTAGTTTCTTGAGACACATACTGCTCAGGACTCAGCTGAATGAATACTCAAGAAAACGGCAGAACTCCGAGTTCTCTCTGAGCGGTTTCCTTTCTCCTATATTCTGCAAAGAACGTTACTTACCTTGGTCTCCCCGGAATATCAGTTCTATTTTGCCAACGCAGACAATCCACTGGGCTCTGTTTGAGTTCGCTGTCCGGCATCTATGAAACATTAATATCCCTGAACGCAGCATGTTTTTGAGCTCAGATCATCTCCCGATCACTATTCTTCGTTACTGATTCCCAGAGTCTTAGAAACAGCCCCACTGTCTGAGGGTTTTTTTTTTTTTTTTTCCTGAAGCAGTAGTAGATATTTCAAATGAAGTGTCAGTGCTGTGTGTTTCCCCGAAAACGCAAACTGAAGGAGACGCCTTCCCTCTTCCGCGTAGAGTGACAAGAACTTTGGGAGGCGGGCGGCGAAGGTGAGCGCCCTTTTCTTGTCCCTGGCGCCGCTTACTGTCTAGCACGCAGGCGCAGAACCTAAAACTACGCCTGCGTCCAGCACCGCCCGGCGCCAGTTTGCGAATACGCGCCTGCCAATTAGAGCGCACAATGGTCCTTGATGCACGCCCACTGACCCCGGCAACCAATCGCCTTCCGCGGCGCGAAGTCGACTGTGGATTCAAAGTAAACCTAGGGATTGTGGGAAAGTAGCTGAACGCGGCACCAGCAAAAATGGAGGCGGCAGAAACTGAGGTGGAAACTGCAGTCCTAGAGTAAGTGTCTGCGGCCAAGTGGCAGCTCGGGGCGGCCCTGGGAGGACCTTGTGGGCTCCCCTGTATAACAATTGGTGCCCTCAATCCTGTACAGCTGTTGGGGTTCGACCCTGCCGTGCAGTGATCTTCATGGCAGCCCCGTCTTAGGTTCCCGAGGTGACGGTTGCCTGCTCCGGGAGTACGGCGGTTGAGGGACCGTTCGCCGCTCCCCACATGCACGTACTCCACAGAGTGTGCTCCAGAAGGAGACAGTTTCTTTTCTGTCTTCTTGTCCCAAACGACACTTTCCCAGTTGCTTCTCGTATCCCCATCCCCGCCCTCTCGTAGACTGCTCCAGTCCCTAACAATGAAAAATCCTAGAGTAGACCAAGGCATCCAGCCCTCTGCCCTGAGTCGTTTCTCAGCTATTTCAAGACCCTGCCCCAAGGCTAGTGCTCAGTGCCAGGAGGGATTCCAAGGAGCAGCATTCTTCCCCTTCCTTGCATATCTCCCTGGCTTCCTTCACATCTTACCTCAAATGGTTTCTATTCAGTGAAACACTCCCTGTATAAAATCTCAGCGCTTTCCTCAAACTCCTTATACTCTAGCCCTGCTTGTTTTCTTTTTGTCAGGTATGACCACTGTATGCCCTCCATGCATACCATTACTGGTTGCAGGCTGTAGGCCCTTAAGGCCTTTGTGTAAACCCTGGTCAAGGCAAGACTCTCAATACTCATATACACATCAACATGTGTTTGTGTACACACGCGTACTATAGAATTAGCACCACAGGAAAATGCAATTTCCTGTGTTTCCTTGCCCTTCCAGGGTCCTGACTGAGGTGGCAGGCATCCTGGAACCTGCAGGCCTCCAGGAGGAGGCAGAACTGTCAACCAAGATCCTGGTTGAGTTTGTGGTGGTATGTACAAGATGAGAGCCAGCCTTTCAGAAGCCAGGGTCTTGTCCTGGCTCCTCTTATTGAGATACAGGACAGTATTGCTAGAGAGCAGACTTAAAGGAGACCTGTAAAGAGGTAAGGATGTTCCTTGTCTCTACCCTCCCTCTGAGTAGGACTCCCAGAAGAAAGACAAGCTGCTCTGCAGCCAGCTTCAGGTGGTGGACTTCCTGCAGAACTTTCTGGCTCAGGAGGACACTGCCCAGGGTCTGGATCCCTTGGCTTCTGAAGACACAAGCAGTGAGTAGGCAGGGGATAGGAGTAGTAGCTGGTCTGAGTGGGGAAGATAGGAGGGTTTCAGTAGGTCTCGCATTTAGCTGATGGGAAAAAGGAGGCCCAGTGTTGCAAGGAGGCAGTCTAGCTGGCCACCCTCACTCATATTCTCATTCCTGGTGGCTCATTCAGGACAGAAGGCAATTGCAGCCAAAGAACAATGGAAAGAGCTGAAGGCCACCTATAGAGAGCACGTGGAGGCCATTAAAATTGCACTTACCAAGTCCCTGACTCAGATGGAGGAAGCCCAGAAGAAACGGACACAACTCCAAGAAGCATTTGAGCAGCTCCAGGCCAAGGTATACCCAAGGGCCTTAAGTAGGGGGAGGGAAGGGCAGTTAGGTAGGAAGAGGGAAAGAGTGAGCAAGCTGAGTTGTGCCAGCTTGCAATCTTTCAAAATTCCAAACAAAAATAGACTTCCTCTGTTCTCTCTCCCTTGCTTATCTGCAGAAACAATTGGCCATGGAGAAACGCAGAGCAGCCCAGAAACAGTGGCAGCTACAACAGGTAGGTTGATACACCTAGGAGAGTATCTCTTCCCACCATCATGCTATTGCATGGACAGTGTCCTCTACCTAGAAAACCTTCATTTTTCTTTCTCCTTTGAGGCGCTGTAATATAAATACCAACATGGGCTTGAATCTCAGTATCACCCCTTACCACTGGGTGACCTTGGGCAGATCACTTAACTTGTATTTCTTTATCTGAAATTGAGGCAATAATAGCATCTACTCTATAGGGTTATTAAAGTGCTTAAAATAGTACCTGGCACATAGCAAGTTACATAAGTGTTAGCATCACCTTCGTGCCCCTTCCCCCAAAGAAAGCCTCACCGTAGAACAGCTCATTCTGGTCCTTCTTTTCCCCTAGCCCCCTACTCCACCCTGAACTGAATAGAGTCCCTCTTTTCATCAGTGAGTCTGAGCCCTGAGCTGGGTGTAGGCTGGAGGGGTTAGAGGGATGGTTCTAAAACCTCAATATCTGATACATAATGTCTGCACACTCATTCCTGGCAGGAGAAGCGGCTGCAGCATCTAGCAGAGGTTTCTGCACAGGTGAGGGAGCGTAAGATAGGAACTCAGAAGGAGCTTGAGGGGGTGTTTCAGAAACTTGGAAACCTGAAGCAGCAAGCAGGACAGGAGAGGGACAAGCTACAGAGGTAAGGCTGGGGGCATTGGCTGCAGATTCAGAATGGTTCTGCTGAGATTCCTTCCCTTCACACTTACCTCCTCTTTGCAGGCACCAGACCTTCCTCCAGCTTCTGTATACCCTGCAGGGTAAGCTGCTGTTTCCTGAAGCTGCCGCTGAGGCAGAGAATATTCTAGATGATAAACCCCAGCAGCTGACTCGACTCGAGGAGCAGAGTATAGGAGACACCATGAGGAGAGACCCTGGTGTGTCCTCCAAGGTAAATGAGAGATGGAACAAGTGGGCATGGGCAGGCAGGTGGAGAGGGAAGCTGGGAGATTGGCCTTATCCACTGTCTATCCTGTATTTCTCCAAGGCTGATGGTCTACAACCTGCTCGAGATTCAAATTTGCCATGGATCTCTGGAGAACAACAGCATGGAGAAAGATCCTAGAACAGGTCAGACCCCCAACTCAGGCCTTGGTGTATTTGGACTGCGAGTGTGGAAGGAGGGGAAAGCCTGGTTTACTTCTCTGTGCATCTGAGCTCTGCTACCCATGGAGCAGATGGGTTGTGAGAACAGGAAAGAGCTTATGTTACAATTTTAACACCTCTTTCCCATGCTCAGGGCACCCACAGCTAACTCCTATCTTCTTCTTCCCCAGTCCTCAGTCCTCTGACCCTCCCGCAACACACACACACAACCATCATTGCAAGAAATACTGTGAACTCCTGAGTTCAGCCTGATTTCTGACTACAACCCAGGTGGGACAAGCTCTGGCATCTGTGGATTAAAAGCCTTGGATCTCTCTCAGTTGCATATTTGTTTCTTCATCTTCATATGCTGGCAGGCAGAACTGTTAATACAGATACTAAGAAGCCAATAACATGACAGGAGCTGGGACTGGTTTTAACAAAGGGTGTGCAGATGGGGAGGGGGTACTGACCTTGTGCCTCAGGGGTTGCTTCCTTCTATGATGCAGACATGCTGAATTTAATTCAAGGAGGAGGAGATTATTTTAGGCAGGTGGTTATATGCAAGGAAGATAATTTATTCACTAATCCAAATTGTATTCATGGATCCAAATGTTTGTTGAGTCCTTTCTTTGTGCTAAGGTTCTTGCTGTGAACCAGAGCTATAACAGTGAGCTCATCTGACCCTTTTAAGATATATAGTCTAGTATTAACATTCTTGGTATCTTTTTGTGCCTTATCTAAAACATTTCTTGATCACTGTTTTCAGTTGTTCATTTATTAGTCTTTTCAAAGAATCAGAGATTGGCTTTTGTCATCCACTGTTGTATGTTTTGTTTCCTTGACCTCTAGTAATACCTTGATCATTTCCTATCTTATGTTTTCAGATGGATTAGATGTACCTTTTCTGCATACTCTTATTTTTATCAGATGATCAACTCATGTATTTGGATCTTTATTTGGTTTCTGAAATAAACATGTAAGGCTATACATCTTTTCTTACTTTATTTTCACAATCATTCAAAGCATTTTCTATTTTCTGTCATAATTATTTCACTGATAAATTTCATTGAAAAATAATTCGGTCTTCTATATGTTTGTGGGAGGATAATCTAAGTTTATTTTAATTTCATCAGAGGATGTCATTTACATAACAAACTTTGAAATTTGGTGAATGAATTATAGCCTTGATGTGCTAGTCTTTTTTAATATTTCACATGAATTTAGAAAGAATGCATTTTAGATTGTGTGTAGTATTTCCTATTAGATTATGTCTGTATTTTTATTTTTTTCAATTTTTATCTTCTATATTTTGTGGTCTGAGTATCACCTGAGAGAGGTGTACGACAGTCTTCAATTAGGATAGTGGATTTGTTCATTTCTCTTTATAGTTACATTTGCTTACTTACTTTGCTTTTTGCTATTAAATATTTTGCTTTATACGATTAAAATATTTTATATATAAATACTTTGCTTTATACTATTAAAATATTTACATATTTTTACTTTTTTAAGGTATATATAATTTTATATATATATATATCTTTCTTTTGAACTGAACTTTTACCTTTGTATGGTAGCCTACTTCATCTCTAGGCTACTGTGTTTAGCCTTGAAGTCTAATAGTTTTAATATTAAAATTATATTAATATAACTTTGCCGGTTGTTCTGGTTACTCTTTGCTTGACATCTTTTTGCTTGAATTTCCATCCTTTTTTAGATTCAACCTTTCTTTATATTTACCACTTGTATTTAAAATGTTATTTAAATATGTTACTTAAAATGTTATTTTTTAAAATTCAGCATTTGAAATGCTATGTTTTAGAAATTCAGTTTCATGTTTGTCTTTATGATTTTGTAGTTGTGTCAATTTTTTATTTTCTCTCTCTTGGTTTTTTACTTATCCCTTTCGTGTCTTTTAGTTTTATTTTTTATTGTTTTGTTCTCATGCTTTTTTTGTTGTTGTTGTTTGTTTAGAAGGTCTTGTCTGCTAATTTAGCTTTCATAGTTAACAATGTCTCAAGTTAAAGAATTAATTAAAGAATCTTGATCTTTTTTTAATAAATGAAGCCTAAATAGCTGTAACCATTGATAGATTATCCCACTTTAAACTATTAAGGTATTTTTGTCCAGTTTGTTACTTCTAGCCTGTTTGTGTTCTCAAAAATTAATTTTTAAAATTATTTTATATGGTCAGTGCTTTATTTACTAAATTTACTTACTATTTTTGCCCACATTATTTTTACCTTTCAAAGCTTTTATGTGAAATACTTTTTCCAACTGAAATAAATATGTCAGAATTTTCTTTAAGAGTTTGTAGACTGTATAATGCTTTAATTTTTCTTACTATGAAAATATTTTTATTTCATCCTCATTCTTGAGAAATGTTTTATTATGTACAGAATGCTTGGTAGGCAACTTGACTTAATACATTGAAGATTTAACTCATTGATTTTCGGTCATATGGTTTTGGTCCTTGTTGATGAGAAGTCAGCTGTCAGTTTAAAAGCCCTTCCTATGAACTTTTTTACCCACTGGGTGCTTATAAAACCTTCTATACTTAGTGCTCTATCATTTTACTATATATTGTGAATAGTTTGGGATTCTGGTTTACTTATTTATTCATTCATTCTACTTGAAATTAGTTGGGCTTTCTGTATCTTAAACTGCCACTTTTTCAGCAATTCTGGAGTATTTTCAGCTTTATCTGTTTAAAAAGCACTCTTAACTCTTTTGTATTAGCCTCTTCTAAGATACCAATTAGACATCAATTAAATTTCCTTACATTTTTCTTCATGTCATGTAAATTTTCTTTTGTACTTACCATTGTTCTTTCTCTTTAGATTGCATTCTAGGTGCTTTTCCTAAGTCTACTTTAACTTTATATAGCCAAGCTATTGTTTTTTTATCAATTTCTTCAATCTTTGATTTTTGAATCTTCGATTTTTATTTCAATAAGTTGTATTAGATCTCAGTTTACTACTTTTTTTGGATATTTTCTTCTGGCTTGTATTTTAAGCTCTACATTTTTAAGTTTTTTGACTACATACTAGGTATATATATGAGGTTTTTTTTTTTTTTTAACCTTAAACATAATGTATGGACACTTTATCATTTTTTTGTATGTAATTTTATTGACCTATCTCTCATACTCCCTGTTTAATAGAATTCATGTAGTTTCACTTTGAGCTGCCTAATGTTTTTATATCTGTGTGCTATCCCATTTTTCATTTCTGTTGTTTATTTTCTCTCTTTCTTATTAGTATTTCCCAGAGGCTTTTTTTCTACTTTCTATGTCTTTGAAAACCACGAGTGTTGACATCGTTTTCTTTAATGTTGCTTTTCGTACATTCTTTTAAATTGTTTTGTCTTTATTATTCCCTTCTTTATTTTTTAATATTTGTATGGTTTTTAAAAATTAATATTTGATAATATGTATGTATTCTTTCACATATTCCAACAAATACATTTACATATTTACATTTTTATTTGACCACCACTGAGACTATCTCATATATTTTAATACATAGGCTATTTATTATTTCTAAATAGATTGTAATTTTAGTATTGATTTTATTTTAAATCAGGGAGGTTTCCTTTGCTGCTTTTGCCTCTCAAACTTACTTGGAATAGTGTTTAGTTCCTCTATGGATTTAAGATAATTTTCTTTGTTATTTTTAATGCACCAAATTTTACTGCTTACAGTAAATTTTACTGTTATTTCTTTTATTCGGTTTGCTTCAAATGGTACAACATCTGTGAATATTGTTACTTAAAATATATTAGTAACAATATACTGTTATTTCTTTTATTCCATTTGCGTCAAATGGTATGACACTTGTGAATATTGTTACTTAAAATATATCAGTAACATAGTATTTGTATATGTGTAGTCATTATGTATGTTCTTATAGGGAAGAGATTTTATTATTTTTGTTCATCACTAAACCCGTAAGTTCAAGGAAAACCCTGATAGAGGGGAGATCTGCAAATGTTGGTGAAAATGTAAATGGTTGACAAAAATGAAAAAGGAACACAATGCATATGTAAGGTATTCCAGATTTTTAAATGTGACTTGGAAGTTTGTATGAGATTTCACAGAGGTAACATCCAAAAAAGCATTTTACTTATATATTATGACTTCTATTACAGCTACCTTTTCTGAAATATCATTTTTTTCTGACAGGGTTCTAAACATTAAAAATAATTTAACACATTGCATTCAGTATTTCTGACCATTTCTATCAAACCAGTTGCTAGGATGTTTCTAAAAAACATCGTGAGAGAGAGAAAACTTGTTCAGAGTACCCCCTACAATTCTTTATTAAGGTCTTCTATATTTATGTGACTTATTCCTATCAGGTAAATATTCTTATTATCCCAGATAGTGTCACCAAACCTAGTACTGCTCACTCTGTCTTAACAGTTTTGAAATTTATTAAACTAAAGTTTCCTTTCTAATATTCTCCCCTGCCATAACAAGATGGACGTTTTCTGCTGCTCAATATTTCTTGTAGTGCTAAATTTGGACTTTTTGCAGCAGTGGTGATCAGTGAAGGTGTTGAAAATCTCTAAAAAAAAGTGGTTTACTTCCCTGTGCTACCAGTACATAGTAATACAATATTAGGTGTATATATTTTATTGATGTATTATTTTTATGAACTTGTTTCTCCAAAGGGTAATAAAATATCGACAAACGATGTTAGTGATAACATCTGAGAAGTTTCTACTAACTTTGAAAATGCTGTAACTATTTTCAGGCAGTGTTAATTTTCTCCCATTGTGGAGCCTTTCTGAGGTTAATACACCTCATTCCTGCCTTACAGTAAAATATTGGACTCTGAGGAGCTTCCTATTTGAGTTTGTAATTTGTTAATTAAGAAACATGCCCGACTGATACAATTTGCTCTTGAAACCCTGAATATCCTAGATTGTTTTGAGACCCTTTTAAAACTGTCATAGATTCATTATGTCCTTAAATTTATAACTGTTAAAGAAATAGTGAAAAAGCCAAAAACCTTAATCTTCATAGAGCTCTGAAATATACAAAGACTAGATTTTTGGATGCCATATTCATATGCATTACTAAATTTTAAATTGTGAGATGGACTTTAGGAATCACACTACCCAAGGTGTGTGTAATTCATTTCACCATGCATTATAAAGTAATTATACCCAAATGTAGAAGTTGATTAAGTGGGTAGATTACTATATATCTAAAATCGTGTTTTGTGATTGTACTGGAAGAGGAAATTCAGGATTATGCTTTCAGAAGGTGAAGGACTATTAGAAGCATAAGGTTATCACTAAAATGTTTAAAATAAATAAACCATAAATATAATTTAGTGCATAATTTGTTCTGTTCATATGTACTATAAAAAAATAACATGAAGTGAAATTAATTTTTTTTCTGGAAAAATTATTTGTTTAAAAGATTCTTTAGGTTCTCTAGGTTATCCAGTATATGAAATTGTATTATAAAACTGTGTCTAATCCAGTTAAACAGTAAATGTCAATTTTATTAGTCTAGCTAAAAAGCAGTGATATTAAATGTTCACCTTTATCATGTAACTAATAATAAAACAATAATTTATTATTTATATGAGCATTTGAGGAAAAACAGAAGCCTGTCCAAAGTCTCCATATGTATGAGGGTTAGATAAAAGTCATTTGAAATAATTTATAGAAGTATAGCATTATCTCTGGTTGTTTCATTCTGTTACTTTATAAAGATAATAGACTGTGGGGGAAGATACATGGGTTTCTAGCTTGAAAATTCTGTTAATAATTGCAAAGCAAAACTTTGTTTCAGTATTTGTTTTCAACACAGAAATAAGAGGAAAGGGAAAGAAATGATAAATTTGGTAGAGAAATTCAATCATAAAAATATAGAAAATGTGTGTGTATGTGATTGGTGTTTATACCTACCTACCTACATACATAACATAGTAAGGGAGAATGGAAATAAGATGGAATAAGTAAGTG